TAAAAATGCTAACCATCAGCTGAGGCTTCAGCAAGTTGTAATCTTTGTGCTGGTGTAGTGCCTTGTGAGAAACAGTATCTACAAAGCCAATAAAGCAAAGTAATAAAACAAGGCACACCACATACTCTTTCAATGACTAGATCTTAGGGTGAAAAAAAAAAACAGCTTGAAATCCTCCTAAATAAATCACTAATAAATAAGTGGTTAACTTAAGTTATTTGACTGTCTCATCAATAAGCAATCAACCTAGGGGGAAAAGCAATAATAATTGAGAATCCTACTGAAATACTGAATTGGAAACCAGCAGAACAGCTATTTTGTTTTTAACCTCTCCAAGTCCCCTCTAATAAAAACAGATAGAGCAACTAGTAGCAGGAAACAAAAACAAAACGTAATTGGTAGAAGACATGTACAAAATAATAAACCCTCATCCATAATATTTACCCAACCCCAAACATAAGTGGGTAGGGCAAAATTCCACTGGCCACAGCCCACTCGGCACTGGGGGGAAGAAGAGAGACACGTGGAGCATCCAGTGGATCTGAAAACAGAACCTCCAAGTCACCAGCCCACACACACACAGGAAGTCAGCTCTGACCAGCGAGAGGAGCGCAGTCAGGCGCTGCACATGGGCACGGGGCGTGTGGTAACTGGACCAGCATGAGTGACTTACCAAAACTTGTTATAGTGGGAATTCATAGGAGCGCATTCTAAATTGGAACACATAGGAATAACAGGGACACAGGGGAGAGAAAATAGGGTAACAGAAAAAGAGGGGAACAAGGTCCAAACAATCTAAGGACAGGTCCAACTTTTTGAACACTTCACAAAAACAACAGAAGAGGGAGCATGAGAGCTTAAACTACAAATCCCATCATGCTCAGCCCCACACTGTGCCTTCAAAGTTCAGAACACCGAGTTCAAGTAAAAAGAAGGAATTAAAAAGAGTCATGGTTTAATCCAATGCACAATTGTCATAAGAAAAAGGAAAACCGGGCGCAAAATAATATTTTTGCAGTCAATGAAAGAATATTAGAAAGATTTATCCACAAACCAGAAATAGCCTTACAGGAAAGAAATAACATATGAAAGGCAACCTAAGTCAGATGCAGAATGCCAGAGATTAGTAAAGAATTAGAAAACACTTCTGGAAAGAAGACTTAAGTAAATAAATACAGAGTGAACAGATACAATTGATTTTACCTTACAAGAAATGAAGAGGGAAAAGATTTATTTTTTAAATATACAAAATTGGTGGAAAAGGTAAAAAGAAAAAATAACTTGTAGGTAAGGTTAAGTTCAGTAAGGTAAGCAGAGAAGACCCAAAATACACATGATAGAAGAAACTAAAGACAAAGAGGGAAACAACAGCATTTGGAAATGAATAAATATTAAAAAGTTAAATTCAGGAAAACACTTGTGAAATTAAAAAAAAAAGAGTTGAAATTACATATTGAAAGGGTAAAACATTTACCTAGGAAAACTGGCAATGAAGCAATAACACTGAGATAGATTCCATTAAAATGACAGTATTCTAAAGAAAGAAAAAAAAACCTTTGGGCATTCTAGATACTGCAGTCCCCTATAAGGGAATGTCAGACTGTCTTCAGAACAACAACATCAGTATCCTAGAAGATGAGAGACAATTTAAGGTATTTTACAGAAGAAAAATGTAAGCCTGAGAGTTTTAATTTCCAGTGAAGCCCAAAGGCAACTGACTCACTGTTGTGGACTTGTAAGAACTCAGGGCATATTGTTCCTGTAAGTCTAAACTGAGAAACTGACCTCAGTAGAAATTCTCAAAGTTCTCCTGAGCCTCCTCCAAGCATCTATGAACTTAAAACAACAATTTTCCTATCACTAAGACACAACTTGCCCTCTTCACTGCTACCGTTTGCAGAACAAGTAGACAAAGCAAGGCAGGGTGCACCTGCTCCGGGGCCCGGGCACACACACGCACTGGGGGAGGGTGTAAAAGCTACTAACAGTATTAAACCTTTTACCCTCGGTAGTCTGTATGACTAGGATGGGATTACACATGGAGAATTCACATAAATTATAGTTATTCAGTCTCGGGTATCTGAAAGATATTGTCTTGAAAATGCAAAAAGTGAGTCCATCACTTCAATTGTCAGGGATATCCAAGCTAAAATTCAAGCTTTTGAAGTAGAAATTAGAATTTAGGGAGACTGACAGCCACCAGTGTAAAGGTAATACATTCCCATCATTCAAAGATTTTTCCTGAAAAGTAACAAATATGACTTATTTTTTAGTATTCTTCAATAAAATATAGTAGGAAGCAATGGAAATAAAGAACCCACAATTTCAAGTGACCAATGCATGGTGTTCAAAATTATCTATGAGCCACAGGTCCATTCAATGTAGAGACAGTCCAGTGACTTTCAAGGTACCATACAAAAATATTCACTGATACGTCATTAGGTTTTAAATTGCTAACAACATTTAAGAAATTACCACTTCTAAAAAAAAAAAATCACTACTTCTTGAGTTTTGGTCTACTAGCAAACAAATCACACTTAATTATCTGAAAAGTTAATTTTCCTCATTCTCCCTTTCCAACTACTTTTACGTGTATGGTCAGAATTTCTTCACACATCAAAACAATATACAAGAGATTAAATATAGAAACAAGTAAGACAATGTAGTTGTCTTCTTTCTACAAGGCCAGATATTAAAGAGATTTGCACTCCACTTCCTGGAGTGGCTTAAGCCCTCCCGGGTGGCACAACTGGTTAGAGTGCAGCACTCTAAGGAGCCACAGCCACTTCCCCTCCCACCCCGGAGGTGATCCATATGGAGGTGATCCATATGGCGCCACAGACCTCTCCTGACCCACCCGCTGCTCCCCTCAGCAGTGTACATTGTCAATCTGCCTGTTCTGCTCCCCACTCTCTCTGGTGAGTTCTGTATGCAGAAATTAAATCTTAAAAAAAAATAACTTTCTGGCTTAAAAAATATAATTTTCCATAAAAATCTATTCAGGTTAGCATGTAAGAGTTTTTTAATTTAAAAAAATAAACAAGTATTTTAAAATATTTCATTTAGCTTTCTAATACATAAATATCAGACCTATAGCTTAAATAAACAAAAATTCTTGGGGGATTTTCAACAGTTTGGGGGGGAATATAAATCTGTTGGTCTCAAAAAGGTTGAGAAATGCTATACTAATGAATGAGCTTGGCACAACCATATTTGGGACTCCAACAGTTATGAAGCGGTGTAAGCCAAGGTCCTGCTGCAGAGGGGCTTGGACTGAGCGGCAGATAGCGAAGTGGGGGAGGGCTATAGAATCCAGATCCAGAGGTGACCTGAAACCCCTGCTTGTGGGCACGCCAGGCCTGACCTGGGCAAAGGGTCTGGGAGCCCCCCTGAAGATGTAGTGCACAACTCAGTTATTCAAGCAGCTCACCCAGGAGAGTGGAGCTGAGTATGATCATGAAATGGATATAGAGCAAAGTTCATCTAAGCATGTTTAATAACATACTTCACTACTGAGCTACCCAATTCAGCTTGAGTGGTTACTACTTGGCATGTGTAGTTACAATTAATGATACATTTATACAGCCAAATAAAACATTTCTGGAAGATGGAGAAATGTGGCAGGGAAAAACCTTCTGGAATTTCTTCAGAACTCAGAAAGTAGCTAGTTAGGGGGTCGTACTGTTGTCTAGTGCCCTGTGACATTCTAACTCTTACTCAATTCTTGTATGTCCTTGTTCTCCTGCCCTGTCCCACCCTCTCCAGGGTGATGGATTACCGCTGTTGCTGGGCCTAGTGCTTTCAGATGCAGGAATGAGTCCTGCATGTGGGGAGCTCCCTGATGCCCCCACCCAGGGCTCCTGGATAGTACTGTGCCCATGACGTCTTAGGTGACAGTTGGAGCTCAGGGCCATGCCCAATTTCTCTTATTGCTCCTGGGGCCATCAGACAAATAGGCGTCATCCAGGAAGGAAGAAAAAGCAGAAATAACAATGAAAGGAGCTAGGAAAGGAATTTTAAGCAGAGCAACTGGAAATGGTAGAGAGGATGTAGTAAAGAAGGAAGAGGCACTCAGAAGTGCTGACACCCAATCGCGAAGCCATAACTGATTGGAAGGGCACCTAAGGAAGTCCATCCAGCTGTAGAAAAGTGCAGGTCAGAGTGGGCAGACACTGAGCTTTCTACCTTTTCATACCTAACATCTGGAAGGAAGGGAGTTTTCCAGTCCTCTCTTAATCCAGCTGCTATCAGCCTGGTGCTCTTTCTTTACTTCTGCCTTGCATTCTTCAGTTCCCTGTAATATCTATCCCATGATGATAAAGTATCACTAGTTGAATCAATGTGAGGGGCAGGCCAAGAATCAGTGAAAACCCTAGGTACTCTAGTGAAAACCCCAGCATGCTGGTCACAAGATAGAGTGAGGATAACAGTGCCCTGTGAGGTTCTGCTTGAGGATTCTCGGCGACAAGGGAACATTCTTTGGTGTGAAAAACTGCTATATATGTGACTCATTTGCGTGGCCATCCACAGGATGAACTCTGCTCCCACAGAAACTGAAGCCAAATGCGGTTGGTCCACACCTAGGGATGGGGCTGCACTGGGCAAGTACACTTGTGTGGCCTCTCCTGGCAGGTGACAGCTGTTTACCTGGAGGCTGGGCCACAGCACGTTCGTGACTAAGCTCTTGGCCCTTAACTCTGCTTACCCCACCCTGCTAGAGACCACATCATACCACATCGTCAGGACTTGGAGCACTGAAGATCCAGATGTGATGTCAGCACAAAATAGAACTGGTCTATTAAACTTCTGGCTACCATCACAAAAACATTAAGATACAGAACTGGCTGGATTTCCGGTTCATCAGGGACATAGTGTCCCTAGAAAGAACCTAGACCTCCAGCTGGAGATTTCCACCAGTCTCCTAGAATGTTGATTTCTGGCATTTTCCATTCCCATTTCTTAATTTGAAATGAATGCTGATGAGATTCACGAGGCCCCACCTGTCTCCCGGGAGGCCCGGAGCCGCTGGCCATTGCAGAAGGCGCCCTGGCCCCGCCGGCCCGTGTACAGCCGCTCCTCAGTGCAGTGGTAGATGACTCCAAACTCAAGCTGCAAGGTCAGGGCAGGACAGAAAACAAATGTGGTTCACTGATTTGACAGAGAAAATAACACAGTAATTAGGTGAAGGTGTTCTCGGAGTTCAGACTTGTGTTATGATGAAGGGATAGAAATTACCTTTCAAGTAGAAACTGAAAAGAACCAGTGTCTACATTCAAAACTAGACCTGGACAAGAAAGCAGACTTTCTTTTTAAAAATAATTATATTGAAAAATAAATGAAAACCAATGTAACCATATTAAAATTAACATCAAAATTAAGCATTAGTAAAAAAAAAAGTTAATAAAAATTTCTATAGCAAGATCTCCTTTTTTTCTGGGAAAAAGAAAAGGCTACTTGTAACAACTCATCAAGCCCAAGAAATCTTCAACTTTGCTGATATGAAGAATTAAAAATGCATCTGCAAAACCAACAGAATAATAGAACTCAAGGCCAACCCCGAGAGGGGAGAAGCAATTCACAAAAGGGGCTCATCAGGTGACAAAGGTCTGGAGTGACACCTCCCCATAGGAGTGGCAAAAAGAGAGGTGAACAAGGAAAAATCTGCTGACACCCACATATTTACGTTGGGTTGTACAAACTTCACTGCTCATGGTTAACAGCACTGGGTGTTAGCCCAGTTTTGATCTCTTGAAAGTGAAGAGAGACCCAGGCCACAAGCCTTTGGGAAAGTTTTGGCCATAGGATGGAATCAATCACAATGGACCCCAAGTTCATTTCTGGGGGGGACGGTGCAGTCAGCGCCTGAACGCCTACACCTTCCAGCAGGACTTGTGCTGCCCCTTCTCCCCACCCTGGCTGTCCACTCAGAGCAGCCACAGACGTGCTGACCCCACAGAGGCTGTACCAGGTCTATATACGCCAGGGGCAGGTGGCTCAGAGGCCTGTGCTGGTGGGAGGAAAGGCTGAGGAGTGTGGGGTGACACCCTTTCATGAGGGGCCCCACCACAAGCCTAGGCTGCAGGAGCACATCACACATACCGGATCCGGCACAGTCGTGACCTTGCCCACTGCAGGGTGTCTGTCCCCTCCTCAAATAGCAATGTGGTGTAGCAATATGGAGCAGTGTCACCCTGATTTACCGCTCAGTCTCAACCACAACTTTTAACGGAAAAGAGTAACTCTTTACCCAGATTTCAATATGAAAATTCCTGCTTATGTTCAACTAAGTATGCTTTCATGGGCATAAAGATCCCTCAGTTTCCATGCTAGGCAATCTATGCTAATACTGAAGATTAAGATGAAAAAAGGAGAGTTGTTCTAAAGTTCTAAAGAAGAATTGATCTTGCAAAGCACTGGGCACTCAGTCCTATTTAAATAAAACAGCAGTAAATACAAAAAAAAGTGAGGCTTTTTTAAGTGCTATTGCCTAAGTTGATGAATAAAGTGTAAGCCTCACTCCTTGCCTTTTATGCAGCCCCACCCCCCAACACAACTGCTTAGTTCTGAGGGTGTATGGGAACCCTGGAATAGTCACACTCTCATACTAATAGCTACAGAAACATGAAGAAAAATGAACTGAATATTGGGATTAAAACTGTCCTCTAAAAATAGGAGCTCCTTTTGTGTGTGTGACTTGATCACACGCTCCAGGGGTCAGATGGACACAAACTTGGACCCTTTGCTCAGAACTTCCCTTCCGCGTCTCTCATGGCAGTGCTGCAGAGATCACAGGGGAAAGAGTGCCAGCAGGAGCCCCAACCTGACCCACTCCCCACCAGTTTGGCACTTGTTCACTTTGTTAGATTTGAAAAACACGTGCTTGGAGTTACTACTCATGACTGAGGCAGATGTCGAGAGACGAAAACTGGAGTGCAGAGGTTGAAAACAAAAAGGAAAATGACTAAAACAAACCCCAACTGGCGCCCCAGGGAACCCATCATGTACCTCTTGGTTCACAGCAAACCCAATGCTTACTGCCACGGTTGGAAATCTGCAAAGAAAAACAGAGAGGCTTACACTCTAAAACATAAATGGAGTCACCAAAATGCAGACTCTTAGAAGCCTCTGTGTGGCTGTGCAGCAGCATCACCCAAGGCACAGAAGGGCCTTTCTCCAGAGTGGCTGCGTTTGTTTTTTTAAAAAAACCACTTCCCACAATTTTACTAACTGCGTCCAAGACAAATAGGCTCAGTGGACCACGTTGTAGGACAGTTAACCCTGAAAGAAAGCAGCATTCTCAAAGTCATGTAAGAAAGGGTCACATGAGAACCAATTTTGAGGGATTTTCGTCATCTGTTTTCTAGCCCCCACAGACCTAAATGGACAGCAAAGACCAGGTGGGCTGAGACAGGGAGGGCCCCATAGGCAACATGGCAGGTACGTGCCATGGACCCACCGAGGCCAGACCTAAGGGACAATATCCCCTTCCTCACCAGTCTCCTGTCACAACAGGCTGGGCCTTAGGGTCCCAGGAACATGGCGACATCACTGTGCCTGTGGCTTTATTTTGAGACTGTTCCTGCTGTACTACATTTTCAAAATATTCTCTGCCTTATGTGAGAATCATCAGAGCTTAAAAACAAGTAGGAATGAGGAAAGGCTGGGTCCTGCTAGCTTACAGGAAAAACACGAAGCCGGTCACGTCAGATCCAGTCTGACTGGTGAGGGGCAGTGGGTAGCCTTGTTGCTGCCAGTGTTCAAGGGCCACAGGTTTCCAGGCATCTACAGGCCAAGAGAACCATTAAGGTCATGCCCCAGGCCTGTTAGGGGCTGCTCTGCAGATTGTTTTCCAAACAACACTCTTCTCCAGGTTGTCTCTCTGGTCCCACAGACCCCTTGGCTCTCCATCAAGGAGACGGAGCCTCCACCACTAAACAGACTCAGCCCACCTTGAGCCCACGACAAGCACCCTGGGATCATGGGATAGAAGCAGCATGCACTTTACTCAAGACACAGCTGAGGGGACACCTGCGATTCCACTGAACTCCGCAGGGGTGTCACGCTTTAGTCCGGTGACTGCTGTCACCAGATGGCACTATTCCACTGCCTCAAAGGGCCACTTGTGTATGCATCACAGAATTCTCAAAATAACCCATCTTTAGAAAAGGATGATGACTAACATGATATATTAGAATTTTTTTTTACACACTTACATGGATCGACACCATTTGAGACAAAGCATAGAGGAAAGCACCAAGAGCAAAGAGCCCCACCTCCAAATCTGGCTGTGCTCAGGTTTTTAAGGAACAAAGTGCTTCCTAGTCATCTGCAGCAGGCTCTCAAAGTCATCTCCAGCTCCCCAACCTGCTGAGTCGGGGTTGGGGATGGGAATGTGCTGATCCCCTGTTCGGGGGCTCCGTGCACAGTCACTTCAGAGAAACGATGTGCTGTTGGGTGCTCAAGTGATATATACAACTGACACCTGCCCCTGTGATTGGAGGTTCTGGGGCCATGTACCCCTCACCAAGCTGAACTCTGCAGCTCAGTTTTCTCCCACAAACAGCCCCTATGACCTCATGAAAACTCACTACTTTTGGGTTGTTTCTGCCCAGTCATATTAGGTTGGGCAAGCATCTAGTGGCATCCTTGTTCCACTTGTCAGTGACAGAATATTTGCCCCCATCTCCAAAGCTGACACTAGAATTTCACCCTCAGGTGCCACTGTCTACACCTCTGGGCTGCACAAGCTTGTTTTCTAACTCTGCTTGCTTCTCCAGAGCATCCTGAAGGAGCTTCTTTTCAGTTCAAGCCCACATGTTAAACACAATAAGTACAACAGTTTTTAAGTAAGTGAAGATCTCCAGACTGCTCTTCATTTCTCACAAATCTTATTATTAAGAAAAAAAAAGGGGGGGGGGAGCTTTCTCACCCCTTTTACTGAGACTGTACACCTACCAGAGTTTGCTGAAATACTCCTGCCTCCAAAAGAGCTGCTTTGGAAAAGACAAAGACTGCAAGAAGAGAATGAGTCAGGCCCCAGTTGGGCTGGCCAGGGCTGATGCTCACCTGTGCACAAAGTTGCAGGTGCCATCAATGGGGTCGACGATCCAGGTGGGGCTGGGAGTGAGCACACACTTGGCTCCTGCTGCTGCAGCCTCTTCTGCAATGAACCTGTGGAGGATGGTAGCTCAGCCTGAGACACACACCAAGAACTCAAAACAAAGTGCTGCATATGGGCCGTTAAAGATAAAGCAAATGCAACAGAGACTACATTATGGTTTCTCGAGGTCAGACTAAGACAGAGGCTGAACAAGAGCATCGGTGTTTCAGTCTGCTGGTCTATGTACTCAGAAGGATTTAGAAAACACAGAGTGACATCTCAAGGTTGGGGTTTCAGAAGAGCATCGAGGAGTGGACCAGATGGAGGAATATAAGACTAATAAATCTGATAAAGCAAAGCTAAATTCTAATTTAATATTGGTCTGCAAGAGAGTGAGCTGAGAGACTCAAGAACATCAGGAAGGCCAGTGGGAGCAGCCAGAACTCCAGAGGTGCCTTCCACTAGTAAGGCTGTGGACTAGTCAAGGCTAATTCGCTGGGCCCAAGCAGATGCCATCCAGGCCTGTAACCAGTCTGACCTTAGCCGCAGACAAGGTGAGACTGTCTCTGTGTGTGGGTGGCCTCTTGATGGGTGCTGATTCCCCCAGAGAGGCCCTCTCCACCCTGGTCTCTGTTCCAGGTGTCTGGGGCCACACTCAGGAGAGATAACCGAGAGTCAGATTAGGGTGCTTGTCCATTCCTTGCCCTTGAATGTCACCCTCCTCCTGTCCCCCACAGTGAAGACACCCTTCTCCTTCAGCTCTGGTTTCATGTTGGAAAAACTATTCACTTGTACAGCATGTGGAACAATTCATTCCCTCATGAATGCTCTAATGCAACTGTAGCTGTGATACCTAGAAGAAGCTTCTGTCACATTCTGTACAAATAAATGTCTCAGAATTGAGTCTCAGATGAGCTTTTAACTGAGAGAAATGTCTAACAATTTTGAGAGACTTCTCATATATGTATGATTTGGGGGGTTCCACAGAATATTTTTGATGTCTCTCAGTTAGAAAGAATCCCTCAATGTGCAGGTAGACACATACTCTGGGCGACCAGAAAGGAGCTAGCAATAAATTCCGGCCCCAGTTCCAGAAGGACCTCTTGAAAAGGTTATCCTTCACGGGGCCTTCCTAAGACATGCAGGTGCCCTGGCATGCCCTCTGGAGCTGAGTGGATTCACCAAAAAAACATCTCCCTCTTCAGGCCTAAGCCAGTTTCCTCCTGGATGAGTAAGGAAGGTATTTCACTGCCTGGCCTGGTAATATTGTTATTTATTTGCAAGCTGGGAAAGAACTGTTACTATTTTTTTACCTTCACTTCCTAGTCTTTCATTCAGGAAAAGTATCTTGGGGAGTCCAGGAGGGTGTCTCTGTATGTCCCCTTTGGGGTTCCTAGATGAACAATGACTTAAGGACAAACTGTCAGGGAAAAAAGGGGTCCTGTGCCCACGTGGGTGTGAACGCCTCCTTCTTCACTGAACTTCAACTGATTCCTCCTGGGCTGCAGTCTGAGCTGTTTGCCTTGTGGCAAAGTTGCTGCACTGGAGTCACCTTCTATACCTCCTCTATACCTCCATGATTTTCTTTCCCTGAGAGGGCTTGTCATTATGTATTTTTAAAGAAAAGGGTCCACCCTGTAAGGATCACAGGGTACTCGGGCTCTTTTTCATCTCACTGTGCCAGCCTCTACAGCCACCACTTGTGGCTTTGCTTTCTGCCCAGGTTTCACTGCCCACATGTGGTATCATGTTGGTGCAAAAAGCACTTGGGAACACGAGCATGGGGCAACATGGACACCTGGGGCCAAGAAGCCTGAGCTCAGGGCATGTGCACCTGTGATTACAGGTGTCTGGGCGATTACAGCTAGAGGAGGGTACAGGGCCTGCGCACCTGTACATAGATGCCCTGGATGCTGGGAGACCGAGAGAGAGAAGTGAAGTCAGGGAGAGAATAGGGAGTAAGAGGGCTGGGAGCTCAGTTACTGCCTGCCTGTCTCCCAGCCTGCTGGTCTGCCTCTGAGTCCAGTCCCCTGATTCAGCATTAAGGCATATTAAGAGATACTGAAGGCTCCAAAATTCTCTTCATCTACCTGAATCAACAATGAATCTGCCTCTTCTGGGATGTCTGCACAACACCCCAAAAATACATATAAAGGGAGAAAGTGTCTGCACAGCCTTTTGGACAGAAATAACTCAAAGTGCTCATCAGGAGCCCTGAATTTTTTCAGCAGCTGCTTATTCATGACTAAAAGTTCTCCTCATCTCTACCTGGCTTCCCAAATAAAGGGGGGTGGGAGGGGCCTCTGTGGTGACAATTTAGGTCAGGTGGACATGTCACTCTTGGAAGCATCAAAACCTTTCTAGTTATGTGGGAAAGATAAAAGGTTTTATTTACTTAACCTTATATTCCTCATGTGGAAAGCTAAAACCTATGGAATGGGAAGAACATTCTTCAGCTCTCTGTAAAGAGAACAGGGACATCAGCGTGGACAGATGAAATGTGAAATATAGAGACCTTAATAAAAGCATTGCTACAGCTACATAAATCTGCTGTGCAACTACCGTCAGCTGGATAGGTTCCTTGTTAATTCTCCCAGACAAAAAGAAGACTTTGGAATCATTTTACAGGCCGTTAGTGCTAAACCAGGGGACCAGGCCAGCAGGCAGGCAGACAGCAATGGAGCCCATGAGTACACTACAAGGCACAGGTTGCCATGACGGATGAGGCCATGCCCGCCCAGGGGTCCAGAGCAGGCAAAGGCGGCGGCTGTGCACACTGAGCAGCCGGAGCTGCTGCCTCCTCCCTTTGCCTGTGCCGGCCCAGACTGCAGCACAGAAATAGAAACAATGGCTCAGGGATGCTGCTGGATATTTTCAAAGGCACTAAACTTGGATCTAAGTCAAAATCCTCAACTTTCATGAAGGACTAAAAATGAAGGAGGACGTAAGCTCATCCTTCCTAGGCAATTTTATGTTGTTAACTTGATTAGAACATATTTAAGTACTACGAAAAATTACAACATACTACTCTATAATATGAATATTTTCCCCTCATCACTGACTATCAATTTGCCTTTAAGCTAAAATGCAATTTAGTGGCCCAAATACTGACATTGTTCTTTTAAATCTCAGCTATGAGTAGAAATTCAAACCTCATGGCCCTATTGGATAGTAGCTTTTGGAGAGAAACTGGGGAACCTTTACACTTGATCTTAGCCAAAAGGCCAAGAAGTGATAAATTTGGGAACCTTAAAGTCACTGAATTTTTCAGGTGTATGCACCTGCATCTTCTAGGGGCTTTTCTAGAGATAGGCACCTTGTACAAGTGCCTGGTTTACCTGACATACATCTTAGGTAAGGGTCACTGTTCTGCATGGATGATTTCCTAAAACAGCTTCAAACCTGGTGACCCCTTGGTGACCCCAAGGCTGGGGATGGAAAAAACACTGCATTTACTTGCACAATATATTGACTTTTATCCTATGACATGTAGCACTGAATATTTATATTTACCTTGCACAAACAGAATCCATGCCCTACACTGATCCAACAGAAAATCCAAACCGCTAGAAACTGCTGCCAACACAAATGATAGTGTGTACATTTCAGAACTGTTTGCCTTGTTATCTGACTGGAAAATGCCAGAAGCCCTGATACTGACATAATGCATAGTAAGGCCAAGTCAGCTTTCATTCCAGTCCCGGTCACCTGGGGTACTGTGCCAGTCGCAACACCACTGGAGACTCAAGTCCCAAACAGCTACTTACAGAAACAGCTGGTTGGTTAATGGAGTCTGTATCCTTCTCAAAGAAAAATCAGTTTGTATAATTCTTTTGACATTGACACTTAATTTATTTTTTAAAAAGTAAAAAGTCAGGGCCCTCCCTGGTGGCGCAGCGGGTTAAAGCACTGCACTAAGAAGCTAAAGCCACTTCAGCATGAGTTCAATCCCCACCTGCCCCTGAGGTGACCACATGGCGCGGCAGACCTCTCCTGACCCGCCCGCTGCTCCCCTCATCAGTGTACTTCGTCGATCTGCCTGTTCTGCTCCCACTCTGTCCCTGGTGAATCCTCTCACCCTCCGCATCTCTGGCTTGTACCCCAGTTCTGTATGAATAAATAAATCAATCTTAAAAAAAAAAGTAAAAAGTCAAACACTTTAGAGCATATAAATACTATAAAAGATAGCAAGAATCTGGGGTGATTTGGTGATGGGAAACCCGTGGGGATTACAATGGAGATGAAAAAAAAATGTGCAAAATGATGTAAAAATAAACTTTAAAAAAAAAAAAGATAGCAAGAATCCTGACTTTATGCTGAACCAGGAAATAATGGACACTCAGACACAAAGATTGTCCACAAAACAAATATGACTCAGTGGTGGAGAGAATTTCAGAGGAAGAGTTGGTGATCCCAAGATAACCTAACTTGTTAAAAGAAAACTAAAGAGGGAAAAAAGGGAAGCCTAAATGTTTGAACATTGGCCTGTCCTTTCCTACTTTAAATCATTCATAGGAAAAGTCTCCAATGCCCAGCCTGTGTCCAATGGATGCCAAGGAAGGTTCCTTCCATGCTCCTACCGCGTAAGCACAAGGACAGAGACTTGGACAGTTAATCTATACCCAGAAACCAAGTAGTGGCTATTCCAGTTTCAGCACATCTCTAAAAGCAAGGACAAATAACTTAGTGTCCAAGGTGGTAGTTTCCAAAGTCAGTTTGGCAGAACTTGGAGATGGGGTGGGGTCTAAGGAGCCGTTCCCCACATACGTCCCAAGCTATGGCTTGGGGTCCATGGCTCCTCTGCAACTAGGTGTGAAACACTGTGCAAATAATTGAATCTTTCTGAGGTACGATTAGTAGTTTGCATTAGAGTCTCTACATAGTGAACCCCAAAAGGTTTAGAATTTCTGCTCTAGAAAAGAGGGTGGAGTCCCTGTAAAGGCCTCCTTGGGGAGGAGAGCAGTTTCCCATGGTGCCTTGCAGGGGAGAATGCACCACTCTGTATCAGTACCACACAGCTGATGGCACCACTCAGGGTAGGATCCTTTTTGGAAAGTCTACCTGGGACTGCTGAGGAGACACAGGCTGCCAGGGAACATTACTGCTTGGGCCCCTCCAGAAATAGGCCAAGTGTTCCAAGTGCTTAGCAGAGGGGAGCAGGGCACTTTCTATGACCATATGCCATGGAAAATGGAGACTTTTCACTAGATGTAAGGGGATATTTTGACATGAGGGTTGTTAAGACCATGGTAAAAAGAATGAAATGGGAACACTGGAGGCAGAAAAACCTAATTTGCCTGTCACAAGCACCAATGGTACAGCTTCCCTGAGAAATATACCTACCTGTGTGAAGGAAACTTCTTCTGTAGTTCAGAAATAATTAAATCTTCAACCAGGTGGTCCGTTTCCGTCACCAGATCTGCAGCTGATGTTTTTGTTGAGACATGTTTTTCTTCAGAAAGGGCTTTTCTGATGATCTGAAATAAAAGTATGGGTTGCGGCCCTCCCTGGTGGTGCAGCGGGTTAAAGCACTGCACTAAGAAGCTAAAGCCACTTCTGCATGAGTTCGATTCCTGCCTGCCCCGGAGGAGATCCACATGGCGAGGCAGACCTCTCCTGACCCGCCCCCTGCTCCCCTCAGCAGTGTACTTCGTCGATCTGCCTGTTCTGCTCCCCGCTCTGTCTCTGGTGAATCCTCTCACCCTCCGCATCTCTGGCCTGTACTCCAGTTCTGTACGAATAAGTAAATAAGTCTTTAAAAAAAAAAAAAGTATGGGTTGCAGGCTAAACCAATGAGCATTCTCTTCCCCTGGACACATGAGCATACTTCCTCCTCTAAGGTGAACTCTGAATGCAGGCTTGTGGTTCTCTGGACCGCTTACTTCTCCTGTTATGACAGACCTTCAGGGCTTAACATTACACCCAAACTTTATGTGGTTTGCTAGTGAGTCTTAATTACCCATTAGTCTTTTCACAAGACAGACTCATTTGACGAAGTTATTTTGTCTTATCTGTGGAATAATTTTTCTTGGGAAGAAAAGAAAAACAATGTTGAAAAATAATGTAACACACTTTTGCCCCTTAAGATCCATGAATTTGGGGTCCTCCCTGGTGGCATAGCGGGTTAAAGCACTACACTAAGAAGCTTAAGCCACTTCCCATGAGTTTGATCCCTGCCTGCCCCGGAGATCCACATGGCGCAGCAGACCTCGCCTGACCCTCCCGCTGCTCTCCTCAGCAGTGTGCTTCGTTGATCTGTCTGTTCTGCTCCCCACTCTGTCTCTGGTGAATCCTCTCACCCTCCGCATCTCTGGCCTGTACCCCAGTTCTCTATGAATAAATAAATAAATCTTTAAAGAAAAAAAAAAAGATCCATGAATTTGAATTCATGAGATTTTTAATGTAAACACCTCTTTTCCTTATTTTACTTTACAAATCATGTGAAATATGCTCTTGAATGCAGGTTACTAATGTTCAGACTGAGAAGCCTAAGGGAAGCCAAAGCTACTTCCACAACCTGAGGACATTTTCTCCCTGCTGGTTTTGGTCAGGGCTTCCTCACCACCAGTGGGCCTGGCCTCACAGAGTCCTCAGAGCACAGCTCACAGGCAGGCTTTGTAGATATGGAGCTGCCAGCACAGTGCACCCAGTCTAAACCCACTCCCATCTGAACTCAGCAGTGTAGAGTGGAGGGTACCAGCTTGCCAAGATACCCTGTCTGGCCTTATATGATTCCAGGAATCCCAAAGAGATCCAAACAGTAAGACATGTGGAGTGGCTAACCAGTCACAGGATGCACGGGAAGGATCTGTTTCATTCTGTGAAATTAAAACACTCCTATACCAGCTTAGGTCTTCTCATTTCTGCCCACTGTAAGAACCTGCTGGGTCCGTGACCTTGATGAACAAGTCAGGTCCCTTAAAATGGTTTTAGACTTTCCCCTTTTTGCAACTCAGATGAAAAAAAAACAAACAAGCAAAACCTGCTCCTATTGTTTGAACCATCACTAGGGTAGGGGGCTACCATGAAAAACAAAAATGGGGAGTGTTTGATGGGTGCTAGGAGTTCTAGCTATCATCTCCAAATACTGCATCTTCTCTAAAGCATGATCACTCACCCAACTCCCCAGACTTGACATCCTTTGCCTCCTGGTTACTTCCTCAGCCTTAGGTTAGCATTTCCTGGTACCTTTTCCATGTCTGGCCTGTGCTGTACTAATGATATGGAGAATGAGGGAGGCAGGAAGAGATTCACCTGAAAGTCTGCAGGAGAAACTGCTCTCAGGGAATGGCACACAATAAGCAGAACTCCTTGCACCCCCTTTTTGTTTTTCATGGTAGCCCACTACCCCAGTGATAGTTCAAACAACAGCAGCAGGTTTTACTTGTTTCTTTTTTATATTTTGCAAATAACACACTAGACAAAGCCTAAAGTAGCCCTGCATGTCCATTAAAGAGAGCCCCGACAGTCACCGCCTGGGGCCTTACTGTTCTACCTGCAACATATCAGGTTAATCGCCTTAAAACACCAATTTCTATACAACATGGTCCCAGACATGCCTGCAGCTTCCCTGGTTATATCTCCAACTCCTCGAAGGTCTACCTCATTTAGCACCTGTCCTGCCCTCCAGGAGTCCTTACATTTTGAGCTAGGCCAGAACTTTTGTCCATAGGGCCACTGACAGTGAGCTGTCAGTTGTGTATGTGTCCATATGGTGTATGTCTGTGGTGTGTACAATCATGTGTGACTTATTATATGTGTGGTGGCTGGGCATACAGCTAGAGGGGAGCAAGACACCCTAGCTAGAGGACATGCTGCCAGTGCTTCTCAAACTTGAATGTGTATTAGTCACTCGGGGTCTTGTCAAAATCAAGATTGTGGCTGAAAAGGTGTAGATTTGAGATTTGAAATTGCATTATAACATTACCTAAATTTTATGTGTCTCATCAGTGAAATCAACAATTAACTTCAATCAATTAGCTGCACAACAAGATTTGCATTTCTGACTGCAAAAGATCTGTGGTGACAGCAAAGCGAAGGGCCACCTGAGTGGAGAGGTTTGCAAAGCCCTGATGAGGAAGGGTCTCCCCATGTCTGCCTCCACTGGAAACCTGCCGTGCAGTTCAATGACCCATCCTCTCAACTGCTGCTGACTCTTCAGCAGCTATCTGCTCAGAACCTGTGGAAGAAACTATACATCATTTTTAATTCCTTCCTCTTATCCAGATGCATGCCCAAATATTTTTATTCCATGTCTGAACTGTTTTCCGAACTACACTTCCCTTCTCACAGTGCCATCGCTTGCTCGTTTTGGTAAAACAACCTCCGAACATCTACCCGCCCCACTCATATGCTACCCACTCTGGGTAGACTGGCTTCTTTGGAAAGACCCAGCTCCTGGCACTCCCTGTGGGCTGCTGGGTCATGTGCTACGTGATGCCCTTCCACGACCAACCCGAGTAGCACTTGGCACACTCACAGACTCATGCTCCCTCACCCTGGATATTCTTTCCTCCTTCCTGTCCCCCTCTGAAGTCCTCTGCATGCTGTCCCTTCTCACACAATGAACCCCTGAATACCTCCTGTCCATTCATCCTTGAGGACTCTGCTTGGGCCTGTCTCTTCAGGGAACTGTCTGCGTGGCCCTCTGTCTGCCCACCCTAGGCAAGGCCCTTTTTCATGGGTCAGTGGATCACACCATGGTATTCCATCACTGCCAGACAAACTTGTCTCTTCAATAGACTTTAAGCTTCTGGAGGGCAGGAGCGCTATCTTCCATCTCAGTAGCTCCTGAACCACCCTCCCTCCAACACTAAGCAGGCTCCCCCCTTCCCTTTGGGACTCAGGCCCAGCATAGTAACAGGCATGGTAAAGGAACTTGACCAAACTTAACTGGTAGCTATTTAAAATAGCTTCCTTTAAGTCACCAGTGAGGTAATACCAGTAAGTTATGCTGAAAATTTTTTTTCAAGACCTTTATAATTCTTCACGAAGAAAATGTATATGAAAAATGCCCGTTTAGAAATGCAATTCTTTACATCCACTCATAACATCAATAAATCTACAATTTGGATTTAGACAAATCTGGTTATTTTTTAAATTTTCACACTTATTCATTTATTTTTATATGTAGAAAGTAGATGACCAGATCAAAATATCCAAATGTAATTTCAAAACAAAGAAATACATTCAAGCCATCTCTTTGTAAGTTATAGTCCTTAATCATTACATACAACAGTTAATAAGGACAGATATATTGCAAAAATGTTCTCTTTATCTAATTGTTAATAAATTCTCTAAAGATAATCTCTAAAGATAAATCTCTAAAGTTCATTGCAGGCAGAAGGGGCAGGATGTGGAAGACTTCAAAGGGGAATGGGAAGGAGGAAAGAATTCCTAGGGTGAGGGGGCATGTGTGTAGGGTGGGCTACACTATGATTTAAGGAATAATTATTTGAAGACTACAGTACTTTCTTTCACTTTGAAAAAAGGTTAGACTACTGCAGTATTTTTTTAATTATATCTTTTTTCTTTTTCAGAAAACATTGGTTTACAGTGCTATGTATGATTGAGAATAATGATTCATTTCTTCTCAGTTATATCTTCCCATCACACCCACCACCACAGCATCCATAATCCTCTACCATATTCCTCTGGGCCCCTACCACCTTTGCTCCTGATGTTCTTCCCTTTTGGCATCAATTCTGTGGTCAGGTTTCTAGGGTTTATTTTGCTTTAGTTTTGTCTTTATATTCCACAGGTGAGTGATACTATCTGGCATTTTTGTCTTTCTCCTTCTGACTTCACTTAACATAAACTCCCCCCCCCACACCCAGTTTCATCATGCTGTTGCTAGGGGCAAGATTTCATGTTTTTACAGCTGAGTAATATTCCACTGAGTATATATATACCACATCATCATTGTCCACCCATCTGTCATCAGACACCCAGGCTGCTTTCTTAACTTGACTATTGTAAAATGTGCTGCAATGAACACAGAAGCACATACATCTTTGAATGAAGTTTTCTATATTCTTTGGGTAGATCCCTACGAGTTAATTACTGGATCCATATGGCAGATAGATTTTTAATATTTTGAGACGCCTCCATATTTTTTTTTAAGATTTATTTATTTATTCATACAGAACTGGGGTACAAGCCAGAGATGCGGAGGGTGAGAAGATTCACCAGAGACAGAGCAGGGAGCAGAACAGGCAGGTAGACGAAGTACACTGCTGAGGGGAGCAGCAGGCGAGTCAGGAGAGGTCTGCCACACCATGTGGTCACCTCCGGGGCAGGCAGGGATCAGGACAGGCAGGGATCGAACTCATGCGGAAGTGGCTTCAGCTTCTCAGTGCTGTGCCTTAACCTGCTGCGCCACCAGGGAGGGCCCGAAGCCTCCATATTGTTTTCCATAGGGGCTGGACTGATGTACATTCCCACCAACAATGCATAGGGCTCTTTTTTTTCCTTACTC